CAGCAAAGATAACCCCCACATCCCTGTATTGTTCTCCCCAAAAACACCAAGGTATCAACACTTATTTCAGTGTGCCACAAGCACAGCTCTTTATCTCCTTTACTTATTAAAGCTGAGCACTCTTCCTCAGGCAGTCTGTCCAGGAGAGGGAAATGCAAATTGTAGCTTTGGAATTGAACAGGTTTCCTGCTCTTTGGTCATAATGAATGTAATATCTTTCCCTGGCGTGGGGCTGAGCAGTGTTTAACTCCCAGATCAGCTGCTCCCTGTGTTCCACATGTCTGCAGGCCTTTCCTTTATCAGCTCCCTTCCAGCATCCCTGGGCTGGAAATTACAGCTGGCAGCCGAACACAGACATCACTGCTGGGGCTCACAGGACTTTTGCAGTGTCAGGATAAAGTTCAGCATCATCTCTTTATTTTCTACTAAGCCTTAAAATGTTATATTTATCACGCAGTGTTATGTTCTGAGGGTTTTTTTTTTTTTTAACTGATAGTTGGTAAATGATTAACTGGCAGTGTTTCATTCAGCTGAGGCACTTACTCCTTAGCATGCTGGAAAAGGTCTTTAATGGGTAGGAGAAAACTTGCTCAATGAGGGTTTTTTTTTTTTTGTTTGATCACCAATCTCCTGTATAGTATTAATTATCTGAAACAAAGTAAAGTCACTGTTGAATAACCTCAACAACTCAAACAGGAAAATGTTTAGAACAAAGGAGTGACTTCTGCTTCAGGGTAAGTGCAGCACTGTATTGCTTCATTCCATACCATGAAATACAATTTTTTGAATAGCTGAAAATACTGAGAGCCATCACAAACTCAGTGTCCTTATATAACAAAGTCATTTATTCTGTTTTAGTACTCTGTGTACTGCTGTTATACTCTAATACAAAGATGATTTTTCCTCTATGGTGGCACAGCAAAAGCAGAAGTGTATTTGCATGCTCCTTGACAATTTTAGATTATAAATTATCTTAGCTACTAATCAATAAATGCAATTTTAAAATCTAGGGTTTTTTCATAATCCAAGGATTTCCATTTATTTATGAAGTGAATAAACTACAACTGATATCACAATTTATTATAAGGAACATATTCATGGGATAAGAGAGCTTTCCTCCACTCTTTATGGTCTGATCATGAGCTAGTGCCAGCAAGGTAAATGAGCCTTTAAACCATACCCTAAACTCTGTTCAACCCTTTCTGTTCACTGAATTCTCTTACCACTGAATATAAAAGGAGAATTATAATTCTGAAATCACACAAGAAGCATTTCACACCCAACCCTGCTAGTTATGCATCACAAGGCACCTTGTTAAAACACATTTCTAAATGCAATATAAAACGATGCAGCAGATAAAAAGTCATTGTGTGAGCAGACAGAAATGCTTGTATGGAACAGTGGGAATGATGGGCTCTGAGCAGCCCCCTGCTGCTCCAGGGTGGGACTGGAGTGCTGTCCTAAACAGCTCAAGGTATTTCACCTCGTGTGCTTTTTTATTTCCTTCCTCTGGGAAGCAGAGCATGTTGTCATTGCAGAGCCACGAACCACAAGGGCAAAGGGTCAGGCAGCACCAAACCCAAGCTGCCATCCTTGCTCTCAGCATCTCTGCCCCGAAACTGCCAGGGAGAGGAGGAGATGGGGCTGCAGCTGCTGCAGAGCCAACACTCCAACACTCCTCAGGTGCTCCCCAGCCAGACCTCTGCTCAGTGCTCATCTGTTCTTTCCCCTCCCCACTCACCTCCTGCTGCTCCTCTAAATCCCCTCTGCCCCAGAGAGCAGAACCTGCTGGTGCCAGGCACAGCCACAAAGCCTGACCTGCCTCAAGTGGGCTCTGACCATCCTGAGTCATTTCTGATATGAGCAGAGCTCAGCTTCCAGAAGGCAGTGATGTACTTGTGATTTGAACAGCCAGACATCTGCTAGACATCTGCTCTCTTCTCTGAAAATCATCTGAAATACCTTGAGCTGTGATGCATAACCTGGTGCTTCAGCTGGTCCAGGAGCAGAGCCCTGCAGCCAGGCTGTCCCAGCCTGTGGAAGGAGGACAGGGACACCTGGCTCTGAGTCCCTCCACCAGGTGCTGCCCCACCATCAGCACAGCCTGACCCTCAGGTTGACAGGAACAAACTGGGAGCACTGGGCTGTCTGGATCGGGTCATTTGGGATGAAGTGGGAACACTGGGCTCTCTGGATCGGGTCATTTGGGATGAAGTGGGGGCACTGGGCTCTCTGGATCAGTCATTTGGGATGAAGTGGGAGCACTGGGCTCTCTGGATCAGTCATTTGGGATGAGGTGTGGGCACTGGGCTGTCTGGATTGGTCATTTGGGATGAAGTGGAGGCACTGGGCTCTCTGGATCAGTCATTTGGGATGAGGTGTGGGCACTGGGCTGTCTGGATTGGTCATTTGGGATGAAGTGGAGGCACTGGGCTCTCTGGATTAGGTTATTTGGGATGAAGTGGGAGCACTGGGCTCTCTGGATCAGTCACTTGGGATGAAGTGGGGGCACTGGGCTCTCTGGATTGGGTTATTTGGGATGAAGTGGGGGCACTGAGCTCTCTCTGCAGACTGGCACCTTCCACCAAACCTCAGGTGCAGGAGGCTCTGCCTTCAAAGGGAGGATCACACAGACAAAGCCTCTGCTCACCAGCTGGTTCTGACTTCACTTCCAACTCTGAAGCCTTCCTCCAGCTGAAAGCAGATTTTTATCTGCCTCATCATGTTGCTTATGGGGTGCTGCTGCCTGCCAGGCTTCGTAACCCTCCGTGCCTCAGTCCTTCAGAGAGCTTCCCAACCCCATAAATAATGTAAGTATAAATGTTGTAAACACTGTTCCTGATCGTGGTGTTCTCAAGGGAGTATTTTTCTATTTTATATCAAAGCAGTTTTTGTCCTTGTAGCCCCAGCTGTCACAGCCAGAATTCCATAGCAGGTAACACCCTGCACACCACAGGGTTTGGATGTACATGGAATTTTGGTCACATTAAAATGCAGAAGCTTTGTTTGAGACTCTTTTCATGACCTGGTGCAGATCACCATGCATGTATTACCCACTGTTGTTATTTATGACTCCAATAATCCTCACCACATCTACGGAGCCTTCCGGAAGCTGTTCCTATTTCCATTACAACAGGATGGCTTGGGGCCTGCTTTCTGCTGACCCTGGAAGAAATTTCTTTATTAAGCAGGGCAACGTGCTGCATGCAGGTAACATTCCTGAGCTGGCAAACCAACACTGTTTCCACATTTTATATTACAGCACCCTTTTTTCCCTCGAGGAGTATGACTGCAGTTTCTGTAGCTTCCTACTGAAGCACAAAAAATTTCTTATGCTCTGTGTAAAACAGAGGTTGTTGTAATCATATTTTACTGCTTTCCAAGAAATGCTCTTTTTAAAATTGTTTGTGAAAAGACACTAACAGCTCTTCCAAGCTGGTGAAACAAGAATAAGGTTTTATGACAAGATTTTCTTTGCATTTAGTTCCTTTGTAACCAGTGGGATACAATTTACCTGAAATGCTTTTTATAAATGCTCCCATGTAAAGCAGGGTGTCTGTTTGGGTTTAATACCTGGAGGAAAAGGGAAATTTTTGTATGTGATGATTGTCACAGTGCCTTAAAATACCAGATCATTGTAGACATCCTAAAATCCATACCTTTCCAAAAGCCTGTTGAGCAGATTTGGTGAACACTTTTTAATTTTAGTGACAGAGCTTTCAGTGAGTGGCCAGTGTAGAACAGTGCAGAAGGTATTGCTCCATCTCCTCAGCCCTAACATGGCACCATAGAAATTAGTTTTTGTTTTGTGTGACTGACTGCACTATGTGGCCTTACAGCACAGTAGGCATGTAGGGGAAACAAACTGACAAAATTAAGAATTTCAGGTTTATCATTAAGAAGAATATTCATTACACAAGATTCTACAATTATGTTATTGCTACATGACCTTGCAGAACAAAGTTATGTTCTCAGTTAGGGCTTGCCTGACGCTGCCAGAGGAATCCAACTCAAAATATGCTGGATTGAGAAACCGAGTTCACATTCTTCTCTGCAGAGTGAGATTTGAGTAAGTAACAAACTCCATCCTTTCCAGATAAGAGCTGTGTGCTATTCCATACTTAATGATGAGGGCTGGGAATGACAGGACAAGGGAGAATAGCTTCCGCTGGGAAGAGGTGGATTAGATGGGACACTGAGGAAAATCCGTCCCTTTGAGGCTGGTGAGGCCCTGGCACAGGTTGCCCAGAGCCGCTACGGCTTTTCCATCCCTGGAAGTGTCCAAGGCCAGGCTGGACGGGGCTCGGAGCAGCCTGGGATAGCGGGGAATGTCCCTGCCCACATCACAGGGTGGCACGGGACGGGCTTTAAGGTCCCTTTCGTCCCAGACCATCCCGGGATGCTGACAGCTGCTCGCTGAGGGCAGCCCGGGCTCTGCGGGGCAGGGATGAGGTTCAGACCCTGCCGCTGCTCCAGGCGCAGCCTCTGCGAGGCTCCTGCAGGCGGGAGCGCTCTGTGCCCGAGTTTACAACCTCCCTGGAAAGAATACCAAAGTTCATTTGAGCAGCAGGCAGCTGTGCGTTTACACTCCCCTTACACACGCTGAAAGAGAACAGCAAAGGGCTTCGCTGAACAGCGCGGGGCTTCGCTGAACAGCGCGGGGCTTTGCTTTTCTCCCACTTGCCAGGGCGATGTTTCGCTGCGCTGCAGTACCGGAGCCGGGCCGGGCCGGTGCCGGGGCGGGGTCGGCCCGGCGCTCCCCGCCCGCAGGTGCGGCCCGCCCAAGGCGCGGCCCGCGCAGGTAAAGCCGGAGCGGCCCCGCCGCCGCCGCCGCAGTCCCGCCGCGATGTTCGGGGCGCAGCAGCAGCCGCAGCCGCCCGCGCTGCCCCTCCAGCAGCAGCAGCAGCAAAGGGCTTCGCTGAACAGCGCGGGGCTTTGCTTTTCTCCCACTTGCCAGGGCGATGTTTCGCTGCGCTGCAGTACCGGAGCCGGGCCGGGCCGGGCCGGGGCGGGGTCGGCCCGGCGCTCCCCGCCCGCAGGTGCGGCCCGCCCAAGGCGCGGCCCGCGCAGGTAAAGCCGGAGCGGCCCCGCCGCCGCCGCCGCAGTCCCGCCGCGATGTTCGGGGCGCAGCAGCAGCCGCAGCCGCCCGCGCTGCCCCTCCAGCAGCAGCAGCAGCACTACTACCGGCGGCAGCAGCACTACAGCCCCCTGCCCGCCCGCCGGCCCTGCCCCGAGCCGCCGCCCTGCCCCGAGCCCCCGCCGTGCCCGGAGCCGCCGCGGCCGCTGCCCTGCCTGGACCCCGCTCCGCACCAGCTCCAGGACGGCGCCGTGGCCTACGACCGGGTGCGCACCTACGGGCCGGGCTGCCGCCGGGTCAGCACCTCCTGCTCCTCGCGGGCCGCCTCGCCGCTGGACTGCGGGCACGGCTGCGACCCGCCTCAGGTACGGCGGGCACGGCGCGGCCTCGGCCCGGCCCCTCGGGGCTGCTCCCGCACTCCATGAGCGGCCGTCGGAGCCGGAGCCCGACGCCGGAGGCTCTGAGGGTCGGGCCGGGCTCCCCTGGGGGTGGGACGGGTCCAGCCCGGCCTCTCCGCTCGCCCCGCGCGTTTCACCCTGTGGAAACACCGCTGTGGGCGCTCCCCGCCGTGCCCAGCCTCAGCGGGCTGTCCCCGGGGCCCGGGATGCGGCCCGTGTCCCCCCCGGGGGCCGGGATGCGGCCCGTGTCCCCCCCGGGGCCGGGATGCGGTGTCACCTTTCCCACCCTCTGGCCGCAGAACGCGGCTGTGGCCGGCTCGGCACGGCTCGGCCCCGGTGCCCCGCGGGCGCCGCTCCCTTCCCACGCCGCGCTGTCCCCGCACGGCTCTGCTGACTTGGGGCTGCTCATGTAAATCGAACTGGAAGCCTGTGTGCTTATTAGATCTCTTTGAATCGATGGTGCTTAGTAAGGTCCGTGACTGAGGTGTTGGAAAGCCCTCGCAATGCAGCTCAGCAGGTTTGTTGTGTGTGTATCCAAGGCATGGCTTGAAAGTATCGGTGGAATTTAACACATGCAAATGGTATATTAAAACTAGAAACCAATAGCTAAAGAACAGATTTGACTGCAAAACCAGAAAGGAGATCAAAATTTATTCTCAAACTATTTTTTCCTCATACAGCAGAATGCCATTAACATCAGTAGGATTGCTCTGCTGTACTCAAATGGCAATGTACATTTGTTTTGAGATGAACTCTTATTGAATTTTCTTTCCAGTGTTATATTTACCTGTCAAAAAGAATCTGGATTAAGACCAATACAAGATCTGCATTCCTTTCAAAGCAGTATTTGCATAGTTTGAGGGCTGCCTTCTCCAGGATGGTTTATGTAAATCCTGGGAAGTGAGTGAGCAGCTGTGCTGATAGAAGGACAAGAGGAAACAGCCTCAAGTTGTGCTAGCGGAGGTTTAGGTTGGATATTAGGAAAAAATTCTTCATGGAATGGATGGTTAAGCATTGGAACGCACTGCCCAGGGAGTTGGTGGACTCTCCATCCCTGGAAGCGTTCATAAATCTGTGCCTGTGGCACTTGAGGACATGGTCCAGCGGTGGCCTTGGCCGTGCTGGGGAATGGTTGGGCTCGATGATCTTGGTGAGTTTTTCCAGCCTGAGCGAGTCTGTGGTCGTAAGGGCTTTGTAGGAGTTGGTAATGGCAGAGCCGTTCCCTCTGTGTCCAGGTTGTTAATCCTCTTTTGCAAGATGCAGGGCAGGAGTGTAAACACAGGTCTCTCCCCTCCCAGATAAGTGATCTGCTCAGCTAGGCTGGATGATAGTCTGAATTGCAGTTAATTAATTAAATATTCATTGGCATAAACATTGCAGTCCCAAGCTTCCTCAGCCTAGATAAGTACGTGAACAAGGATTACAGACTCAAATGCTGTCGCTGCTCTATGGAGGATGTTTAATTTTCAACATCTGTTGTAGTCACTGAATCCATTACGTCCTGCTGATGAAAACTAATTTCTTGCTGAAGTGTTTTGCTGGACGAGACTTTAAAGACAAGAGGGTGTAGCTCAGTCAGGCTTTGTGTGGGTTGCAGTTTCAGTGGTGGAGAAGGAAGGTGCCTAATACAGATTATTAGGAAGTTATTAAAGCAGAAAACAGTAACAAACAGGGAAGTCAGCTGGGAGGAGGCAGAAGTGGCACGCTCGGTGCTGAATGGGAGTTGCCTCAGAGAAGCCCTGGGAGGGTGTAGGACATTCCCAAAGAGTGGATCAGTTGCACTTTGAGCCCATTGTGCAGGGCCAGGTAAGGTGAATAATGGACCAATCCCAGCTCCCGTCTGTGTTTGTTGTCCCCGGAGGATTTGGGGGTAGTGGCAGCCAGAGCTGCAGTTCCAGCTCTGTGTGCTGCTGAAGCAAAGGGCTGTCTTTGAGCCATATTTAATTTGCTTCTGCAGAGTTTGTGTGGATTGACAATAACAGACACGTACATCCCTGTTGACACAGTGCTGGTTTTCAGTCATGTGGCTGGGGTGTGCTCTTGTGTTTATGTACACTTTTAACAAGCTGGAGAGAGGGAGAATTTGAAATTGCTGTGTGCACAGAGCACATGTGCTGGTGCTTTTTGTGATTCAGGATTCCGGGTTTTTTATTTTCGTGGTCTGTTTTGTCCTTGGAGTAATTCACAGCAAATTTTGCTCTGCTTGATCGAAATGAGAAGTGTTTGGAATAAATTCCCTTCCAGTGTGGTTTATGTGTATGAATCCCTTTTCCATGGTCATGAAAAGATAATTCATGAAGTTGCACATACAAATTGTCTGCAAAGGGCAAAACCCTGACCGGCTTTGTAGAGGTTCTCTGTCCATGTGAGAAATTTTGGGAGTCAGGTGTTTGTGTGGCTGGGCTCAGTTCTGTGACGTGCAAAGGGCTCCCATGAAAATGGTGTAATATTAACCAGCTCTGGGGTTGGTCTGTGTTGTAACAGCCTCAGACACAGCCTGCCATTTCCCCATTTCACCTGCCAACTGGAACTCATAGATTAGGAGCAGATGATTGCTTGTCATTAGCAAGACAGTATGTTGTGGATAAAGGCCTTTGACATAGATTAAATTCTCGCTTTCATGTCTGGGTTAGCTGAAGCCAAAGGTAACCTGTTGAAATTTTAAAAAAAAGGGTCATTTGATTTCTTCTACATAAAATTGGCACATTAAGGATAAATCTATCAAGTGCTTATTCTAAAATTAAAAAGTCTTATTTAGAAATCTTAAAGACTAGCAAAAAATATTCATGCAAGTTTTAGTGTTACCTTTTAAATTTTGCTTATAAGCCCCATGGCAGGGGGTTGGAACGGGAGGAACTTTAAAGTCCCTTCCATTGTGTGAGTCTGTAAAAGAGACCCAGACTGCTCAGGCTGTCATGAATTCCAAACCCACAACAGCACTGGGTTTCCCTTTGGAATCCCACCTTCCCCTTCCTTCTCCCAGACAGAAAATGCTGCATCTTCAGACACTGCATCTTCTGACTGCTTGCAGAGAGCAGCCTGAGCTGTGTCCCTTGGGAATGCTGGAAAACTGAAACAGCCCAAGATCCCTTTCCGTGTTCCCACTGCTGGGGGACAGCTCCAGAGGTCTTGGAGGTGGCAGCTCCTTGTGCAGAGCCCCGAGCTGTGTGTGGGCAGTGCAGGCTGGCACAGACACAGTGTTCTGCCTCTTGTCCCCTCCCAGCCTGTGCCAGTCCAGCCTGCTTGGCTGGAATGGGAGAAAGGGCAGGCAAATCCCTGTTTGTAGAGCAGTTCTTTGAAAATGAAAGAGTTTGGGTATCTCGAAAATAAGCATAATTTTATCCAGGCAAAACATTCCTAGGTTCTGTATAATATTGCATATACAATGAGAATATTATAAAGGTCTGTTTCAACTTAAAATGCTCCAGACTCCTCCGCTGTGGGTTTATTCTCTGAGACACCCTGGATGCGTTATCCTCTCTAGACTTTGAGTTAACCTGGCACGTTTGTCCAGCCTTTCAGTGGATTCCAGGGCTGTTGTTCAGTGTCACACAATGGCCATGTGCTGTCCCTGTGCTGGAGCAGTCCCTGCTGTCCCACGGCTCTCTGGTGTCACAGCTCCCTGTGCTCCTCACAGACCAGGCTCGGGCTGTGCCTGCTCTGAGACCGGGCTGAAGGAAGGACCAGTGGCCATTCCTGTGCTATTTCACTTTTTAGTTCCAGTTCTGCAGGTGTTGGTGGTGCAGATTGGGCTGCATGTTCCACCTCTCTGTGCTGTGTCTTCTCTGTGTTGTGTCCCCAGAGTCTTGCTGGCACATGGGGTGGCAGCTGCCCTGAGCAGATCCTCAAATTTCTGCAGCAGTTTTAATTTTGAAATTTCTTAATTACTCTGACTGCTGCAAATACAGTTTCTTTTCTAGTTTTGTTCCTCTTTCCTGGTGCTGTTATGATTCACTCTTGGGAGGTTTGGAAAACTGCTCCAGGCTTCCTAAGCTTATGCAACAGTTGATAGGAAACCTGACCTACTTCAGAGCTGCTCTCACCTGGCTGAGAGTGTGGCTGAGACTGAGCTGCAGCAACATAAACTTCCCCCTGGCTTTGGGGAAGAAATGATTCATTATGAAAATTGGAGGTTTGTGCTGTGAGGGAGGATAAACACTATGCTGCAAACTGACAAATTGCCCAGTCCTTAGATTGGGTTCTGTGGGAGCTCTGCTGGTTTGGGTAAAGACCTGGATGTGAGGGGTTGAAGCATGGTGTGATTTGTTAGAACTGGTGGAGGACAGTGTCTGCAATTGCTTCTGGACAGTGCTGGGGCAAAACCTGAAGAAATCTATTTGAAAACAAAGCTGTTGTTAGGGACAGATTTTTGCAATTTAAAGAGGCACATCTCATTTTTCATTCAGAAATGTGCAGATGCTCCATGGTGGGTATCGTTCCCAGAGGTGGCAGCTGTGGAGTTGTGTGCACTGGATGTGACCCAGTGGGTTGTTGGGCAGCTCTTCTACCTGTTCACTTCTGAGTTTAAGCAAAATCCAAAATTCATGCCTTGTTGACACAAAAAGAGTATGATGCATCTCCATCTACACCAGCTGAGTTTGATGTGTAACGTGAAAAAACCAAAAATGAAAGGGATGGACTGGAACAGGGACATGGGATCCAGGAAGGCTCATCTAGCTTTGATTTCTAGCAGAAAATATGGACTAATTCCCTCAGACCTGCAAAGAGGGGATTGGGAAAAGCCCAGCTCTTAAAATGCAGTGCAGGACTGTGTCTTGCACATGTGCTGCACATGGACCAATTCCTTTGGGGTGTGAGGGCCCTGGGTTTGAAACATCTCCAGGTGGTTGTGGCCAGTGGATCCCCCAGTATTTACAGCCAATGTCCATAATCAGGTTGCTCTGCCAGAAAAGGTGTTGGAGGTTGAGCTGCAGTCATCTCTGAACCTTTTTTCCTCCCTTGCAGGGCACCATCCGCAGGATCATTATCGAGAACCCGGATCAGGTATGGAAACTGTGCTGGGCTTCCCTGAGCTCCTGCAGGGGGGATGATAAACACTCTGAGAGCACACAGCTCACACCTCTGGGGGTCAGAGATGGAATTATGAGGGATGGAAAACACTGCAGAGTGGCCACTCAGGCTCCCATCTCTCAGCAGTTACATCTTTATTAATATTGATTCATTACTGTTTCTACTGTGTTCATTTCACGTAGTCCCTATGCAAGCACAGCCACACACACTCACATGTTCACATCCTAAAGGACAGCTCACATATCTTTAAATTACCTGTTTTTAGTCAAAATTACACTAATCCTGAGTTTGCTGTTTGACAAGATTTATGGAGTTTTTATTTACATGTTTTACAGGAGCCGTTATCCCCTTTTCTTAGAGGGGCCAGTTTCTCTCCTGGAAATAATGTTATCTATGAAAAAACAATAAGAAAATATGAGCTATTAAATCCCCTCCAGGTAAGTTGGGTGTTTATATTATCTACTGCAAGAAGAACATTGAGTTGGTAGCAGGAAATTGATGTTTCTGGGTTGATTTGGTTCTGGGGTTTTTCTTATTTTGGTTAGGAGTAGCTGCCAACCTGAGAACTGCCTTGTGATCTAGGATGCATTCTCAAAGTAACTGAAGAAATATTTAAAGAGAGCAGAAAGTGGAATGTTTGCCATATTTTTCCTAAGAATTCATTATTAATTAACAATGAAAACTGCTGTTGAAACTCTAGTATTGTCAGTCTGTATCTGAATAGTGGCTGTGAATTAGTTTCTTGTAATAGCTTCATAGCAGAATAACCAAGATACGTTTTTAGAAAAAAGAAATTAAAACCACAATTTTTTATTTTACTAACTCTTGGAAAAATATGTTTGGCAAATTTCATCTCACAATTGGTATTTTGTCAATAGGTAAAAAATACTGCTCCCTTTCATTGCTCTGAAACATTTCCAACAGGAAAAAAATTTGAAATATAGCATTTCTCAGAGTGATTTACCTGAGTTTTTTTTTTTACTTTGTTTTTTAAAATGGGACTTTTCATGCCTCTCTGGACTTTAGATAGCTGAATTTTCTGTGATATCCCATCTCTGAGGTGGAAAAGGAAAAAAACTGTAATTATAAATAACAGCTTCTTTCTTACTGCAGATGATGTGCAAAGAAAAGAATAAAAAATTGTGGAGTTTAGCCCTGGAAACCATAGTTGTACTTCTGGTTTTTGTTACCCAAGTGATGTTTGGATTTAGTTCAAATCAGGAGCATAGTAAAGGAAATTTCCATGTGTAGTGGGACATCTACCTTGGGAAAGGTTTTTCACCCGTGCTTCTCACTGGCAGCTACTAAAACTGAGAGGGAAGTTAGTGAATTACAGCCCTGTTAGGTGTAAAAGCAATTTAATTTGGATTATTGAATCATCCAAAGCCATCACCAGCACTGCCAGTCACAGACACATTTCATTCACTGCTGAGGTTGATGTCCCAGCCATGCAGGGTGCCCAGTATTAACCCTTTCTGCCCCAGCAGAGCCCTTTCCCAGCCATGCAGGGTGCCCAGCATTAACCCTTTCTGCCCCAGCAGGGCCATTTCCCAGCCATGCAGGGTGCCCAGCATTAACCCTTTCTGCCCCAGCAGGGCCATTTCCCACCCATGCAGGGTGCCCAGCATTAACCCTTTCTGCCCAGCAGAGCCCTTTCCCAGCCGTGCAGCCCAGCATTAACCCTTTCTGCCCAGCAGGGCCCTTTCCCAGCCGTGCAGCCCAGCACTGACAGCTCCTTTCTGTGCCAGGAGCGGCAGTTCCCGGTGTGCCCGGCCGAGCCGTGCCAGCCGTGCCCGCCGCTCGCGGTCACCCAGCAGTGCCAGCAGACACAGACGGGCAGTCCCTGCGAGCTGTGCCCGGGCCCGGGGAGTGACGAGTGCCGGGCACAGCCTGTGAGGAGGGGCACGGCCCCCCCCGAGCTGGTGAGTGCTGCGGGGTTCGTTCTTGACGTGGTTTGTTCTCGGTGCTGTTCGTTCTCAGGCAGCGACAGACCCCGGGAGTGAGTGCTTTCATGGCTCTGCAGTCCCCACAGGTTTGTGTGGGACCCTTGTCACTGAGCAGGGTCTGTGTGTCTGTCTGGGACTGTCCAAGGCTTTCTCACCTGGTGTTGGGGGGAAAGGCTGTTTGAGAGTTGTATTTCTCATTGTCACAGACCTGTGCTCAGGTGTGCTCTGACTGAGATGAGCCCGTGGTGTTCAGCTGGGCTCAGTCTCATGGGGCTGTTTGGTTTTGCTTTTCTTTACCCATCAATTCAGTCAGGTTTCACCTGTCAGTCTGTACACAAAGACTGAGGAATGCACAGCCTCTGCTTTGGGAGGAAACACTCATTGCTTTATAACTTTGGCAAATATCAGCTCAGCGTTCCTTTATTTCTATGCTGATCAGCCAGGGTTTCAAATGTATTTCAATTTGATGCAAAAGTTGTTGACACAAATTCAGTGGAAGCACTAAAGGAGCTTCCTGGTGTACCTGCAGCTGGGGAGGGAGTGCAGCAGGTCCCTCCTGTGCACCCAGTCGGTGTTTGGGTGACAAACACCCTGGGGACCTCAGTGTCAGACCTGTGCAGAACCTTCCAGAGCTGGACACTCCCATCAGCCAGCTCAGGACACTCAGCTTGGGCTGAGGTCACTGCTGTGGAAGCAGGACTTGGCTTGGTTCTTGTTGTTCTAAAGGAAGTCATTCCTCATTATTGAAAACCAGCAGACTCACTACCAAGAAAAGTGTAATTACAGTGAAAATTGCTAAGAGCAACCAGACCCAAATCCTACCTATAGCATTTCCATGTTCAGCTTTCATGCCAAAGAAGGGATGGTGTCCTGATGCCCTGCCTGTCTCCTGCCAGGTGAGCTGCCCCCAGGACAGCCCCGAGCAGCTGGACTGTCGCTTCTTTGGGGAGCTGCTGGCCGAGCTGCACCGCAAGAGCAATGACCTGTACAGCTGCTTGCTGCAGCACGTGGAGAAGATTGGGACAAGGTACTGCCACTGGATCTGTCATTGCCGTGCCCCACACATGCAGCACTGCACAGCTGGCAGGGACAGGGTTGTTTGGGAATTGGTTGTACTCCTTGTTTCTTCCTGACAGCTGGAATTGACTGGGTGTTTTACACATTCATCTGATTTGCAAGTAACTGAGGACATGGAAATGCTGTAAGCCAAGGAAATTTATTGAATGTGATGCTTAAGAATTGTATCTCCTACATGTGTTTGTACATTGAGCAAACAAGAACTTACAGCAAACTCTGACATATATTTCATGACACAATTCTATTGCTGTGTCCTGAGGAAACAACCCAAATGTCCAGATTTCCTCTCTCCTGTCCTGATGTTGTGTCATGGATTAAAGGACAGGCACCACCAGGCACAAAGCTCATTATCTACATCCAAATGAACGTAAAGCACGTTTTCTGCAGAGCCCTGCAGACCATCTGTGGCAAGGAATGAGAGTCACAGCAGGCATTGCCCTGCACAGCCTCCCCCCCTTCCATCCATCACCCTCATTCTTCCCCCTCACTTCTGATCTTGTCTGATGCCTTCCAGGATCACTGAATAAGGAAAGTGGTCCTGTAGCAGGGGAAAAGGGAATTTAACCATCACAGAAACCCTGAGAATGCCCAGTCAACACTGGGGGCAGGGCAGGGAATTGCAGCAGAGCTGTGGGCAAACCATTACCCAGGCAATTAAAGGAGTAATTGGGTTAACTGCCCATAATTGGGATAACTGCCCAAAGGACTGGGGATAGTCAGCCTGTGTTTGCAGTGCTGCTGGAGGACTCCAGTCTCCCCAGGAATTCCTCCACAGAGGGAAGGTAATGACTCATCAGCTGAAAAAGACCCTTCCTTGCTCTCTATTGTCCAGATAATCTTTTAGTGGTGAATATAGGCCTGAATCCTAGAAGTTCTCAGACAGCTTTTTGTGTTTTACAGGAACCACGACATTGAATTCACGTGCCAGGTAAGGCCCAGGCTGTCCCCTGCCACCACTGGGGGAGGGTTCAAGCAAATAAAGCCAAAGCAGTTGAAGTGAAGGAGGCTGGTCTTGGTTAGTTAATGCTTCCTGCTTGGTAAAAACATTCAGAGCCTGAAAACCACTGCCAGGCAGGTATTTGCAAATGTGGTAACACTGAAAGGAAACTTCAAGAATTTGCATTATTCCGTATGAGAGTCAAATTTTGGAAGTCTCTCCTGCTGCTCCAGTAATGGTTTCACTGGAAAATGACTTGCACAGGTACCTGTATTTTTACAATGTGTTTTTTGTAAAGGGTCTTTCAGTCCCTGGCCGGTGGAGCTGCTGCTGAGCAGCAGGTGCTGCACCTTTGAAGGCATTCAGTGTGAATGGGGCAGAAATACCTGTCCAGGGTTCGCCTGCAGGAAGCAAATGCCACTGAACCCTGGCAGCATCTCCTGGTGGTCATCTGGGGTTTATTGGCAGCCCATTCAGAAACACGAGGTTTTGCCCCCCATAAACTGCTGGGAGTTGTTGTAGCACCAGCTGTTAATTCCTGAGAGAGGATTGGTTTGAATACTGCTTTTAAATGTTGAATTTAAGCATTTGAATATATGCTTCATGTATCATTTTATCTCACTTTGTACATGCCCCACATATAAAAGACTTTGGAAGTTTTCTGGATAGACTTTGATCTATTTTTGTTCTTATTTGCCTTGTACTAAGGATGTTTTTCATAGCAGAGCTGTGTAATTAATGAAGAAACCACATTACTAATCTACCAGGCAAAATTCTTAATCAAGATGTCTCCCCTTTCCTCCCTTCTTTGCTTAGACTGAAGATATTGAAGAATTAATTCCCAAAGGACTGTCTGAGGCAACAAAGCAGCAGATTCGTTATCTCCTCCAGGTATGGGAGCTTGGCAGCCTGTAGGAGCTGGGAGCAGTGGAGCTGGCTCACACACTGGAGGGACTTGGTACATAACACCCCTCCCTCTGTATTCCCTCGTCCCATTGTTTCTAGAGTGAGGGGGTGGGATGGTGGCTTTACAGGAAGTGTCACACGGACCCACAGTCCACTTGTGGATTTTAAACTGGGCTCTACTGGGGCTTTCCTGCAGTTTCACTGGAAACTGTCTTGGCTTTTGACCACTGACACGAGAACAGAGACCTTTCATCTTTCTGTGTTGTGTATTAAGGCTTTGAAAGCCAAACACAAACAGGAGGTGCTAAAAACCCAGAAGCAGAGGCTGAATCCCACCTGCTCCCAGCCCAGCCCCGTGGCTGGGCATGGAGCAGGGAGGGAGCTGAAGAACCAGCCCAGGACAAAACCCTTCACACCTGACCCACAACAGGAATGGTTCTGTTTGCTGTTGGATGCCAAAAGCACGGCTCAGCACGCAGAGCTGCCTTTGCCAGGCAGGTGTGTCAGAGCAGGATCCAGGGCAGCCTCAGCAGGAGAGTCCTGATCTGGGCTCCCTCAGGTAGGGGGAGGGAGAGCCTACCTGGGAGCTGCACCTTGGAATCACTTCCTGGTAAAAAAAATCCATTGAAATGAGGTTGAGGAGGAGCAGCCTAGTCTGAGTTCAGAGCTGCCCTGCTCTGACATCCCCATCCCTTCCAACTGGAATTATTGTGTTATTCTATGCTTCTCTTACAAGGAAGATGGACATCAACCCCCAGATATTGCATGGTCTCAGTGGCACACTGTGCTGGGAGGCTGGCTCAGCTCCAGGTGGAAAGCTGGAACAGGCATTTCCTGTTATCTCTGTGTCCAGCTGGTTTTACATCCTCACAGCTGTGATTATAAAATGCAGCCAGAATGGCTTTTGGGGAACCAGGTGCTGTCAGGATCCACCCAGGACACAGCTGGGAGGGAAGGGTTTGCACAGCTCAGGATTCCAAGCTGGGAATGCCCAGAGGCTCCTCTAAGGACACAGAGAATTCCACTGGGATTTAGCAACCTCTAGCACTAAGCAGTTGCTGAGTGGGGTTTTACTTACATTTTTATAGTCTAAATTTCACCCTTTGACTCAATTCCTTCTTTCAAACTGCTCTATAGTCTATTACACAATAAAACCATAAGACAAAAGTAAAATTCCACTTTAATCACAAAACAAACAAAAAGGTGAGTTGCACTAGGAATGAAGTCTCAGTCACACCACGGCACCAGTGGGGATAAAAAACTGGGCAAGGGCCAATCCTCATATGGATAGAGAGCATGAGAGCTCCAAGTGAAGGGAACACACAGGAGGGTTTCATTTTGTCTGGACAGAAAAAAAACCACAGCTTTTGCACTGAATATTCAGCCCTTCAAGGAGTGTTATGACTTGAGGAGTTATTTGTGTGTCATTTCAAAGTCTATTATGTTTCTTTTAAATATTATAAATGTATCATGAAATGCAACCATTTATATTGTCACCTGAATCAATACACAGCTATTAAAGGCATTAAAATTAACATTCCAAAGGAGAACAGTGGGCTGTGGTCACTTACGGTTTTCTCTTTCATCCAGGTGACTCCTTTCATCTTTGGGATCTTTTTCCTTTTAAAGGGAGGTGTTGGCTGTATGAGCTTTTTTAATTTAAATTTTTTAAAATGTTAATTAAATTCCATCATCCTTGAGCCCAAAGCTTTGCCAGATCTCAAACATGACTCATTCCTCTGTGCCTTTTCAGGCAGGGCAGTCATTTTTAAAAATCAGTGTAAGCACAAAGCTTTTAAAGCTCAAATAATAATTGTACAACAATTGTACATTTATTTTTCCCTTTATTGGTGTACAAAGGCAGTTCCTTACTCTGTTGTTCCTTCCATTTTAACAATGTCCTGTGTTATAAGGCAGAAATTGAACACTGGCATTTGCAGAACAAAGTGCAAGGAAAATGTTTCCTGTAGAAACTGTGGGCACTTCAAAGGACGTGCAATGGTTTTAGAAGTTACTGTCAGCTGTAAAGCAGTTTCTGTTCTACCTCTCGTCAGGCATATTGTAAACAAAGCTCCTTAATTAAACCAAATTATCCCTTTCATTTCTCCCCTCCCAGATGAGAGCGACATCGGACAAATCCCTGAGACTTGTGCTTTCCACCTTCAAGAACCTGCGGGAGGAGCTCTGCCATTTGCAGGATGACCTGGGGGTGAGTCCTGCTCCTCCTCCAGCTGCTCCCAGCTGGAGCAGGAGCCCGGGGCTGGCACTGAGGCTGGGGCTGTGCTGGTGGCAGTGGCTGCTCTGTCAGTGCCTCAGGGGGCTGGATGGACAGGGCTGGCTTTGGCAGCCCCATAGGTTCTCTGGGCAGGATGGACAGGGCTGGCTTTGGCAGCCCCACAGGCTCTCTGGGCAGGATGGACAGGGCTGGCTTTGGCAGCCCCACAGGCTCTCTGGCGTTCAGCCATCCCTGTGGATGCAGGCACCAGACAATTGCTGTTGTTCCCCACACCAGCCCAAGTGCTCAGCACCGCTGGGAATGTCACAGCATTGTCCTGGAAAATGCAAAGTTGAGGGAGAAGAGTTTGAACTTGAGCACAGAACAAGGGGTCGGTGCAGTGGACTTAGTTTTGGGGTGTTTTTGGTTGTTTGGGGCTATTTGTTGGCTTCTATTTAAGACTGGAAGGGCAGTGTCCAGGATCCCAGTGCTCATCACCCAGCACAAAGCCACAGGCACTACAGTGTGTGCTATGTACCTAAACCCCAGACTTTCAAGAAAGTTGAGCATTCTCTCAGTTCTAAAACATCCCTTTATTAATGACTGTGTTGCACTTTATGGGAAGAGTTTACTGAAAAATTGCAGCTTTTGACTGTAAACTTTTGACTTATGTCCTGCAGAAGCTGGAAACTGACAATATCTTGCTGAAGAAGGATTTGGCTTTTAAGGATTCCCAAGTGAAAGAATATGAAACAATGCTGGCTTCTCTGAGGGAGAACAATCGTCAGCAGCAGGTAAATCAAGAAACATTTCCAGTGCCATTCCAGGCAGCCAAAATGGGGACAATTTGCTGACTTCTGGGTACTCTGAGTAACTGCTGCCTGCTGTGTGTGTGATGCTGTTCCTCCCCTGAGCAAGTCCAGGTGCTCATTCCCCCTGTGCTTTCCAGCAAGGGCTCAGGGACAGCACTGCCAAATGCCGCTCCCTGGAGGAACAGCTCCTGTCCCTGCGGCTCAGCGAGGGTGACAAGGAGTGCCAGCTGAAGGAGCTGGAGTACGGCAAGAGGGCCCTGGAGCAGGAGATCCAGAGCCTCAAGCTGCAGGTGAGGGCTCCCTGACTGGGTGCAGTAGCTGAGTCCCAGACTCAGAGGGATCAGTGTAGGAGAATTAACAATGAAAACTCTGTTTGTAAAATAAAATTGGGATCTGTGCTGCAGAGCTGCTCCAGCCCCACCCTGCAGACCACGACAGACGAGCTCTCCAGCTGCTACGTGGAGATGATCAACAACCTGAGGGAGGACAAGGACAGGGAGATCCGCAGCCTCAGGGTGAGGGGCCCTGCTGCCTGTGTGCAGGGACAGCTGCTCTGCACTCACAGCAGCAGGGATCTTCCACAGGCACTTTTTGCTTTACTCACAGACACTGGTGATGGTTTGAAACCTTTATAGTAGAACATAAAATAGTGATTTTAGAAAAACCCAACTGTTCTTTACATGAAGAAATTAGGGATCAACCTGATTAGTGGGCTGTCCTTAAAGGGATATTTTGTGTGTCCTGATAACCTAAGAAATTATCAAAGTCAAAATATGCTTAATAGGAAACAAATCCCAGTCACAGCTGTATTTCTCTCATAGAAATCAGTGGTAAGTCTCCAACTCTGGAAGCCAATTCAACTGGTTCAGTGTTGGTTTAGCTTGAGAATTCTAAAATAATTTAATTAATACTGGATAGAATTCAGTCCAATTAGCACTTCCTGTATTTACTGTGTGGTTCAACTCCCTGACCTGAAAATCCCTGGGCCTCACTGTTGATGGTGTTAATGAAAAGCCACCCCTGGAGCCCTGGGTGGGTGCTGAGGGGCCCTGCCCAGAGCCCCCCACACCTGAGAGCTCCTGCCTTGTTCTGCAGTCCCAGCTGTGCCAGTTCCAGCAGGACATAACCAGGAGAGAGGGGAGCAACAGTGACTTGCAAATGAGGCTGCACGAGCTGACATCGCTGCTGGAGGATAAAGAGGCTTTTATTAAACAACAGCAAGAGGTAAAATAATACAAGTTATTTCTCTTCTAAGAGTTTTTGTGTTTAAGTCTCCATGGTACTGTGTAGGTGGAACCTTAGCAGGAAGTCCCTTGTCCTCTCCTGGCTCAGGAGAGGGATTAGGATTTGTTCTAACTGAATGCTGTTTCTCTGACAGCCTTCTGGAAGGGCAGATTTTCAGACTGTTGAGACAAATTTTTGCAAATATTTTATTGTGGCTTTAGTGAACTGATACTTCAAAAAACATGACTTCACATCAATGTTTGCTTTTGGTTCTGTCAGGAGCTCTTCAGACTGAAGCACGAGAAGTTATCGGGCAGTCAGTCCCCCGGGGTGACAGCCATCATCACTAAAAAGTAACGTGTTATTCACCTTTTTCAAAAACACATCAATTGGGCTTTCCTTTGTTTAGGCTCTGTTAAGCAACCTGTTCAACTCTCCACAGGTATAGGAATCAGTATCCTATTCTGGGTCTCCTATCTGATGACTACAAGGTCACATCACCTGTCAATAAATCACAAACGATTGTAATTGAGAGGACTGGAGAGATCTGGAAACATGTAAGTTTACCTGGATATGGACTGTTCCCTCTGCAATCCCTAAGTGTTCAATTTAACTTCAAAGAAGTATTACCCAAACTGAGAGCTCAGCGATGCCCTCGTGGTAATTTAACTGCAAAAAGCGAAGTGACTGACTGCAGCCAGGGAACTGTCCTGGCTCTTGGAGCAGGCAGTAATTGGTGGGTGTGGTACAAATAAAACCTTTTGTTGTTTTCTCTGGCACGTAATTACTCTGAACAAAAGCATCAGCTTGCTCTAACACCGGCCCCGGGGTGTTGCTGTACTGGGCAGGTCGGCAGGGACCGTGTCCTGCTGTGCTCTCAGGTGAGCAGGGATGTGGGAGGGCTGTGCTCCTCGGCATGAGGAGCATTAATGACTGCAAGCCATTAGTAAAACATACAAAGCACCCCATCCCTGAAACTCACCCTGAGCCAGGGCAGTGACGAACCCAGGAATGCAGAAGAGTGGTGACGTTTTAAGGAGTGATTCAGAGTAAAAATAGAAAACAGGGCTGCAGAAGCTATTTCTGTTACAGGCAGGGCTCGTGGTGCCAAGTCTGGCTACAAGGTAAAGGCTGCAGAAAGGGCAGGGTGGCAAGCAGGGGTGGTGGCTGCAGGCACAAGGTCACAGCAGCACCTGGACCCACCCACGGGGGGACACAGCCAGGGGACAGTTCTGTGACAGCCTGAGCAGATGCAGGTAACACACCTGGGCATGTCCCTCAAGGGGACCTTGCCTGCAGCAGGATTAAAAAAGCAAAAGGCTCAGGGCACTGGCAAAGAGCAGAGTTTTATTACTGATCCTTAAACCTCACCCAGGTGCATTGCAACCTAGTCAAATGTCAAGCAATGAAACATCAATAGAGAAATGAAAACAAGTAGGTAATTAAATGAGATGCTTTATGGGAGATAGTTCTGTTTCATAACAAAAACAGGTTTGTGTATTTCTTCTAACAAGCTGTTTGTTTCTTTTAGGAATGAGAGAATCCTCTGAGCCCTCAGAGCTGCTCCAAGGAGTTCACAAACCACTAAAACTGCTTTACTTTCTGCTCTTCTGCATCCAAGAAAAGGTTCAGTCTGATAGTGAGGAAGGCTGGGAAAACATTAAGGACTCACTTTTCCCTGGGAAGAGTGGGATGCTATCCCTCTGTGGACCTCAGCTGGTCTTGACTAGCTCCTGTTCTTCAGCCAGTCCTGAGGCAATCTAGGAGACAAAAGGAAGACACCTGAAACCTTTTCCTCTTCATCCTTCTAGCCATGTTCTGTCTCTTCATGCTGAGAGTGGGAATGACCCTGATGTCAGCCCCACCCCTCCCACAGCTGCTTTCAGTGCAGAGTCACAGGCTGCATGGGAACTTCAGAAATACCTCACTGGGAACTGCTCCTTACCTTACACCTGCCTCTGTCTGGGAAGCTCGGACACCAAGGACAAAACTTCCATCAAACCCAGCTTCTGACCTGGCAAAAGCCAGCAGGACCCAGTTCAGGGAAGGGCTGGGCCAAGGCTCATTCTAGAGAATGCTTCTGACCTCAGAGGTGATATATTTTCAGCCCCAAACCAGCTGTATTTATTTGCTGTGCTTCAAATTTTCAAGAACTTGGTATATTTTTATATAGAAGAACTTTGTGTGAAAAAAACTCGTGGACTAAATTTCCTTATCAGACCAACCTGCCATTTACAATTTCCACTCTTAGAAGGACCACAGAAATTCTTTCAAACCGATTTGGTGTTCATGATTCAGTAGCTGTCTGAGCAACACAGCACAGAGACTCACAGGGAAAGTTTGCAATGCTGCAATCCAAAGGTGCTCTTTTGTCGTGGGGTTCTTGCTTTGCTTTCCTGCTGCAGCCATGTATTTCTGTTCCCAGATCCTATAGACCCTAGGCCGTGTTTAATGGGGAAAGAATGCTGGAGGCTACCTGTAACATGAAATAAACCCAAGTCTAACTCTCTGGGTCATTGTCTGTCTGTCCTGGAAACAGCTTGTGTACAGCTGGAGGGGTGTAGGTGGTGTCTTGTTCCTCTCCATGAATCTTTACAAGTGAAGGACTGGGGCTGGATCTCTTTTCTGGCTGCTGCTGCCAGAACTTCCTGAGGTGCTGCTGGATGTCCAGCTGGCCTTGTGTTCTTCAGGACTGGGCAAAGAGCCACGAGTAAAACCTGTTCCTGCTGCTGCTCTTTGAGTGGGGCCAGGCTGAGATGGGCCTGCAGTTTCTGCAGTTTCACCAGCCTGGTCCCCCCTTCAGCCTGGCTTTAATTAGTTAAATACCCTCATTTGAAGGAGGAGTGCCTTCCCCCTCTGCAGTCAGTAATTATTCTAAAACAGATTCTAAAGCAGCCCACTTTTCTGCAGAGCAGTGAATGAAAGGTACATCTACACCCAGAGCTAAGGTGCTCCTGCTATGGGACAGTGGCAATGCAATAAATAATCTTAGTTACACTGTCAGCAAAAAACTTTTCACCTTTGGTGATCTAAAACACAAAAAGGACTAAAAACAGCATGTCTCTTCCATGCCATCAGTTACCTGTGCAGGTGCTCCTTGTGCTCCCACCAGGACCAGGGCTTTCCCACAGCTCAGACCAAGCTACAAAGAGAGAAATGGGAGTTATTAATGGCCACAGTTCCTGATGGCTCATCCCAGCCATGGATTTCCTGAGCAGCTCCTCACCTGTGACACCAACCTGTGTTTCCTCCACTCCAGGGCACAGCACAGGGAACTCTTTAAGGTGGGACAGGGCTCAGAGCAGGAGCTGCTGGGTGTGGTGAGACAATTCCATGGCAAAGGCCACCATCAGGCAAATGCTCTTTTCAAATCCAGCTGATCCATCCCAGTGGAAACACCATCCTGGGACAGCCAGGAAAGCTGCAGCCTGCTTACAAACAGCCCAGGTTGCTGCTCAGGCCAGCCACTCTCTTTCCTGGGGACAAGGACAGCTCCTCAAAGAATCTGAAGGCCACCAGACCCTGTAAATGCTGCAGAGCAGAGGCTGTAACTACACTTTGTACTCACAGAAAACACAAATCAATTGTCAAAAAGCTGAATTAGACTAGTAGATGAAGCATATGGCCATTTATTTATAGGCTGGTTTTGTTTTCAAACCATATGCATTTAAAAAGCAAACTTAGTATTTTTTACTATGAGGTACCTGTTACTGTTGGCTCAGCTGTCCCCTTTGCTGTGGAACTGGAACTGATTTACCTAATGTGATTTCTGCTGAAGTTTACAGAAAAACATTTTCTCATTTACTCAGCTCTGTAAATCCTGGTTAGAAACATATTACTTTAGCTCATTTCCCACCTCAATTTCAGCTAGGTTCACCAAGACTTCTACATTTTTTGTAGGAACAAATTAGAAGTCAGACACTATTTACTTTATATAATTACAATATACATTCTGCCCTGTCTTTATCCGCCAGAATGCAGAGTCTTGTTTTGCACTGAAAAGGAAAAAACTGTCTTTGTTTTGACTGACCTTTCTGCAGTATTGAAGTTTCTCTGTCTCAGCTGTAAAATAAAAGCCAGAGAGCCCTGGCTGGGAAGTCCCTGACAGCTCCAGCAGCCACCAGCCCACACCCAGTACCTCACCTTTACCTCCAGAGTTCTGCTGCAGCTCTTCCTCATTTTCTCTCTAATTTATTGCCTTTAATTGTGGGCAGTTGAAACCTGAGGAAAGACAAACATAGCTGATGATCAGGATGTGAATCACCTTTAACTGCACCTGTCAGCCCAATAAAAAGCTGCACCAAACATATCTGACATTTCAGAGCAAGCCCTGCACACCTTTGGGAGGCTCTGCTTGCTCAAGCACCCCTGACCTGTCACAGCTCTCAAATATTTACTGGGAGAGGGCATTGAGAAGGATTTGGGAACTGTTCCTCAAACTGCTGAGGACTCAGGTGCCACTTTATCCTTCAATTTCAGAAGATTTAAAACACCATTCCTAGTAAAATCTTATGTCAAGAGCAGAAACCAACCTCCTGCTTTGATACAGAACAATCAATTACCTGATTATTTGGTCCATCTGTAGAGTGGAAAAATGAGCCAGCACAGCCATGGGCAGAGTCTGGGATCATCTTCAGGTGAAGAAACTCCTGTATTCAACATAACATTCAGGAACAAAGCACTGACATTGTCATGTCTTAAATCTCTAAGATTTTTTCCCTTCTGACTGCTGGGCATGCAAGGAAAAGCAGCAACAAAACCCAGATGAATTAATTCCTGTCTGCTTAATTTCTGCTCTTTGTGCAAAACCTACGAGTTCAGTGGCTCAAAGCCTGTTGGAAATCCTCGACGAAGGGTTCATTTAATAGCACATGCTCTTCTTCAGTTTTTTAATCTGTTAGTGATGTTGCAATCCAAGTATTCTAAAAAGAGAGGGAATTTAGGATAGCAGCATTTTTAGCATTTCATTCTGCAAGCTGTTATTACACGGTAATAAGATAAAAACCTACCTCTTTTTTCCCAAAATATGTGAGAAGTTTTTTTGTTCTCTTAAAGGAAAAAAAAATTCAAAGGAATGTCAGTACCAGACTTGATAATTATTTTAGAAATAAGCAAAACAAACACAAATACATTACCTGTAAGTCTAAAGGGTTAAATCAAACCCAATGTTCTCTCCTCAACAGTCTGATAAAGAGACCTGCAGTAACCTGTTTACTTGAAATGTGATTACATATTAATTAGTGAATAATGCAATTAAAAATATCAGGTGATTTTACAGAGAAAGGGACTTTGCTAAACACCATAAATGAAAAGGAAACTCCAAAAAAATCTGGAGTGCAAGAGATGCGTTTTATTGTATGCCCGTTACGATGAGTAACACATTTAGAAATAATAATCCCACAGAACAGTGACAATCTTATTTTACAGCGTGTACATCATTTTTTACAGCCACATAAAACACTTATTTGTCTAAGAGATTTCCCAAATTTTCACTTTCTGAAGTTTAGAAATATAAAAAAAATTTATTCTCAAGGAACTGATTCTCATCTGGTGCAAAAACAAAATATGAACATTATCTGGAACACAAAGCCACAATATAGCATGAAGTTACAATTTCTCATGTGAACAGCTGTGTGCAAACATGAAGCAACTAAAAAAAGTAAAAAATACACATTATATGCATAACATTTATGACCAGGTTTTTCATTAAATAGCCCTAGACCAGCTCGTTATATAAGCGCCATTGGATTTGCAGCATGCTAACACAAAGCATTTTTAAAGGGATGCATATTTTAAATGTATACACTGTAAACTCAAGATCCACCTCCAAACTCTAGTGGCAGCAGGTTTTTCTGGTTAAATACTGCATATATACTTTCTTACAGATTGAAAATGCATGTTTATAGCATGGTATAGATCTTTTTTTAAAAGAATCGATTAAAAGGTGCAATTTTACGTCTATATGGAAAATTTCATATTAGGAGGTAGGACAGTAACTGTCATACCTGCTAAGAACACTGCCCTAAAGAACCTCTAAGTACTTTGAATTTTAATTAAAAAACCCCTACAGTTTTCAACTGTTTTTAATATTCTTTTTAGAGAAGACTTTAAAGTAGCGAGGAAAAAAAATTAGTGTTGAGTCACAACACTATGAGCTGCATCCATTTTTATCCTTAAAAAAAAAAAGTCAAATTCAAAGTTAATTTTGTTATATGTGCCATACTGAACAACATTCAACTGTAGTTTCAGATAAAAAAAGGGAAATTATATACATATACATCTTTAACCCTAGCACCAGAACACCACCTCTGAGACCATAACATAATGTTCTATTTTAAACATCATATCCTGCAATAAAATAGGTTAGCAGCTTTGAAAACCAGTAAAAAAATGCTTCTTGGACCTAAACTAATAAAGGAAACCAAAAAGTTTCCCTATGAAATGTTTAAAACAAAAACCCAAACCAAACCGAACAAGGACACCCCCCCACCCCGAATTTCACCAGTTCTGGAATTCAATTTCTAGGCACAATTGAAAACGTTGTGATGAAGTGTCTGACTAAAACTCCCTGTCCCAAACTGCACAAGAAGTGAAGAGGGGGCTCCTTTGCAAACCTTCTGTAGCTCACCCCACCAGGGATCTGTTTCCACACTGGAGACACACGTTGGGACTGACAGAATGGCTCACACAATCAGCTCTGCCCTGTCCTCCAGACCCAGCCATGGCAAATACTGTTCACTTGGAGACATTCATCCATCTTTCTGCAAATGTAAGACATTCATCCATCCTCTGCATTCTCTAGTGCTCTTTAGGTTCTGATCAGCAACAATCATAGGGCTATGAGATCCCCTGCCAACCCTAATACTTTTTAAGACTTTTAATACAAAGAATGTAAAGTTATGGTTTAATATCAAGCTTTGAAACCAGGAGAAACAGTTCGTGAGATTTATTTTTTTCCCCAATTAGCATATCACAGTTTCTACACTGCTGGAGCTCACCTATCACATTATGGCCTCTTTGTGGTGCCTCATTATGTGCTGATTTTTCTCGGAGGGCCTGCGGAAGCCCTTTTTGCAGAACTCACACCTGTGGGGGTAGTCTTTGGTGTGGATGGAGATGACGTGGCGCTTAAAGCCCGACGCGTCCGTGGTGCTGTACTCACAGTACTGGCACTGGTACACCTTCCTGCCACTGTGGGTCTTCATGTGCTTCTTCAGTTCGTTCTGCTGCCTGAAGCCCCTTTTACACCTTTTGCATTTAAAAGGCAGGTCCTTGGTGTGAACGGAGAGGATGTGCCCACTGAGCACAAAAGGGTCGGAGGTTTTGAAGTCACAGTGCCTACACTGGTGGATCTTTTTCCCTTTATGGGTCTCGCTATGCTTTTTGAGCTCCGAGGGCCGGTGGAAGCCTTTCTCACACACCTCACACTTGTGGGGAAAATCCTTGGTGTGCACTGAAATGATGTGTCGCTTCAGGTCACTGGAGTTGGTGCTCTTGTGGTCACAGTGG